TTTTTTTGGTGAAGAACACCTCCTTTAAGGGCACAGATTCTGCTTTCTCTCTGGATAGGACCTTCATCAATGCCATTAGGACAGCTGACTGGCCAGGATCAGCTGGGCTGGTTACAGAGCACAGGTGGTGTGTTTGAGTTGGTGGGTTTTTTTCCAGATTACAAAGTGCAGCCCACAGATAAACTGTCTATCCCAACGTGCCTCTCCCAATCAACACAACACCCTTCTGTTCAGGCATTTGGGATCAAAAGGGATACATGTCTGCCAGAACTTCTCTGCAGAAACAGAGGCATGTCAGAGATTAAATGGCCAAGAATAATACTGTGGGTCCAAGGTTGATGTAAGTCCTTTGAAGCTGCTGCATGGCATTGTAACAAGCTTATGTGCTTGGCAGTTATTTTCCCATCCTGTGATATCTCCCTTTCCTTTGCTAACAACGCTGACAGCAAAACCCAAATGCAGAAACACGATAGCAACCAGACAGCAATGCTTAGGTTTGTGTGCTCTTCATTTTAAGAAAACACCATGACTTTTTTGCTGTTATGGAGATTATGTACATCAGAACACTTTTTTACCAAGCTGAAACTGAGCAGKGGGGGCAGAGCCTGAAGTGTGAAGAGCCAGGACTGAGGTTAGAATGAAGAAAAAGCAAACAAAAATACTGATGTAAACACAACTACTTGTCAGCACACAGAATTTTCTGCTTACCATAGCAGGAATTTTTACATCCTAAATCTCAGGGGATGTAGAAGGTAGCAGTCAACAGTACCCAGGTTTTTCCTCATGCCTCAAATATTACTGCATGGGTCAAGCTGATGATGGCACCAATGTAGTGAAAACAAAATGGATGACAGAAGCTAAAATTAACAATTATGCTCCCTTTTCATCAGCCATGTTGATGACTGCCATAAAAGGAATTCTGTCTGGTTATTAAAGTAAGAAAACATAGCCCTGAAACTGCTGGCAAGAAGAGGAAGGACAGCGTCTCAAGGGCAGGATTGACCTGTACCCCAGTGTGCCAGTTGTCTCCCGAGCCACCAGGTCACAGCTTTTACCACCCTGCTCATGGAGCTGAAACCTGGTGGACTTCAAGCTGAAACCAAACTTCCCACATTGGCTGGTGGACATCACTACAGGAAAGACACAAAAAATATTAAAGACCACTCATTTTTTGAGAGGATAAAGCCTGGGCGTAACAGTGCATTCTTCAGCATTAGCAGTTTTGAGCATAAAACAGGAGCCAGTGTCCCAGCTGGCAGCAGGACAGGGTAGCAAAGGGACCTTTGCTGAGGAAGGGCAGCAGAACTGCACCATGAAGTCACCWGAGAGTGCAGGGAGTGAGAAACTTGGTTCCTGTGCCCCCCTGTTTTGCCAGCCTTTCTGCATTAGCCACGGCACATGCCATTTAACCTCTCAGTGCCTCAGCTCCTCCATCCAGGAAATGAGGGGCACTAGGATTTACCTACCTCATAAGGTGCTGAGGGACTCATCATGCTTAGCTAGCAAGTGTGTGGGGCATGCTTATGCTTTCTGAGCAGGTCACCCAGTGGGAATCCAATTCTGTATTAGTTACCAGCGAGTTCTTCAAATGCATCCTCTGAACCAGTCCAGCTGGAAGAAAGTAGGTATCTCTCCTGCCTTATGATGCTATTACAACTCCCCTGCATTATAATGATATTAAACCAGGGATAAATGTAGACAAACAGCCAAAAGCTGTCGATGAATAATGCCTCCTGGCATACAAAACCCAGGAAGTCCTAGTGCTTTACTTTGCCATTTGTTTTTATTACACCTCCTGTTCCCTTAGAAGTTATGTGAGGACAAGGACAGTCCTTTAGGTCCTGTTATCTTTGTACTAGCATTGTCTGTAGTTTCAATGTCTAATAAGCATCTTTTGGAGAGGATACTTTACTTTTATTTTATTTGTATGCATGCATAACTGATAGAGATTGATGTCTGGTTTTACCAGCCTATAAAACCATCAAAGGGGTATTTTTTTCATTAAAGCTGTTGGAAGGGTTGAATTGATGATAAATTACAGA